TTTATGACTTAAGAGGTTATTTGGGACTATATTTGGATTTTGGACGAAAGGGCTTAAGGGATTAAGCCCTTAATAGAAGGAGAAGTTAGCTAACACGTACGATGGAGTACGTTGCGCGTACATGGTCAACAACCTGTTTTTTTTGTTAAGCCTCAAGTACGCCACGCATACCAGCTGAGTACATTGGGCGTCCTCAACTGAGTTGTATCAGATTTACTTCTTTGACTTTCGACTTTGACCAGGAATTTGACCTAAGGGTCTTTTGGGTATTTTGAGTTGTAGTTGAGATTGGTTACTATTTGATGTGTAGGTGACTTATAGAGCTGATATTCAAAGCTGTGTCATGTGCAACTATCTTTCCGGATTGAGAGGTGAGTTTTTCTCACTGTACTCGTAGGTCGAAGGCAGCAATGCCGGCCCACTAGGTTATGTATCCTGGTTTTGAGGATGTTGTTATGTTGAATTGATATGTTAGAACTGAGTCCTGGTATATAGGATATTGTTATGTAATAGTGATCTGTAAATCTGCATGTTAGTCTGTTGACTGGTTATATGATTATCTGTTTATTGGATATATGTTATATGATATGTATATGTCGACATAGTTTGGTTGGGTTGAGGCGATACTGCTTTGTGCGGAAGCTAACAAACCGGGGAGCAAGCCATACATAAGTTGTGGGCCCGAGAGGCAATCCAGACTTATGATGTGGGCTCAGGAGTAAGCCATACATGAGCTGTGGGCCAGAAGGTAAGCCAGAATCATGTTGTAGACGTAGGGGTAATCCAGTCTGTTAGTTGTGGACCCAATATGCATGTTGTTATATGTTTGTGTGGTGGTACTTTGGGGGAACTCACTAAGCTTTGGCTTACTGTTTTCAGTTTCATGTTTCAAGTATTTCAAATGATCGTGGAAAAGTGAAAGCGTGATCGTACACATCCTTCTATGACATGTTCTTGGAGATTTATGATACACTGATCTTGGGATATCTGTACTTTATACTTGATTTTGTTATGGGTTTTGTTTGAAAACAATGGTTTCTTCTGATTTGAAAACAAAAACTTTTATCGTGATTTTGGCATGTTATAAAAGAATGGATGTTAATAACTTTATGAAGTCTTTTTTATGGGCGACATACCGTTCATACAATAAGCAAGGTTTGTCTTCAAACCAAGTATATTGTGATAGATATGAGGTACCTTTGTGACAAGTTGTGCATTATACTCTTTCTGCTCTTGGTAAGCTGTACACGATTAAAATGTTGGCTACATAAAGGTTTACTAAAGTTCAATATAGAAATTTATAAAATTTTTGGAAGTATTACCCTCTCCTACCCTGGAAGATGAGTGTGGAAATGTCAAAATGGAGAAGTACGGTCGAACTAATTGTCTAGATGTTGTTAAGTCGACTACTAAGTATAACAATCGTAGGAAAACGCCCATTGTGTTATCTTCATCAAAAATTATAGTAAGTTATTGTGAAAACACCCTAAAGCTACAAAAAAGTAGGGAGTCAAAATCATATTATGACATGGTGAAAAACATCGAAAGCTACAAAAACATGAAATTGACATATTCACAAGTTTGGCTCTAGGGGTAACCTTTGATACGTAAGATAGGATGAGACAAAGACTAAGTCAAATGAGACTAAATTTTTCAGAATAGTTATATATATATATATATATATATATATACATATATATATATATATATATATATATATATATATATATATATATATATATATATATATATATATATAGCAAGAAGCCAACAAAAAATTACAAAGACATAACTAAAAATGGGTTAACAATCTAATCAAATAAGATTAATTCTTTGAATTTTAGTTTCAGTCCTATGGGTAGAACAACTCAAATAGAAAATAGAATGACAAAAGTACAATTATATCTCTTTCACTTGACGTAAGTCCACTGTCTATCCATTTTGTCACTCCAACATCCATCTCATCTCTCGTTTCAACACGAATATAATAATAAGATGACAAAATTGCAAAAATGGTCCCTATGGTATGCATTTTTTTTGGGGTTTTAGTCCAAACCACGACTTTTTTGGCTTCGTGGTCCTTTTGGATTAGTTTGTATGTGAAAATAGTCCCTCCGAAAATTGAAATGACTATAATACCCTTGTGGTATTTTTTTCATTTTTCTTTCATTTCTTTTTAAATCTAATACTAATTTATTTATTTTAATAATTAATAAAATAAAAATTGGTCCTCTCTCTCTCTCTCTCTCTCTCTCTCTCTCTCTCTCTCTCTCTCTCTCTCTCTCTCTCTCTCTCTCTCTCTCTCTCTCTCTCTCTCTCTCTCTCTCTCTCAGGATTGCAAAATAACAAAAAATTGGAAAAGGAAGTGAAAGACCTAACTCCTGTTTCTCTTTCGTTCCCTTCCCCTTCGTATCTTCATCTTTAACCAGAAACAAGGAGGAAAATACCGATTTTGAACAAAAAGAGGCAAAACCCTAACAAATTTCATGAAAATTTGATCCTCTCTTTGTGGGTATTGTTTCTATTTCTTAAATTTGGTACCATGGATTATGATAACATTGAATGCGTTTCAATGTTTTTCCTTCAAAAATGTCGTGGCAATCTGGATGATCATTTGTTGTGTGATATCGAAGGTACTGGTCACGATCTCATCTCCGCAGCTATCATTGGTTCTGACGGTAGTGTTTGAGCTAAGACCTCTGCTTTCCCCCAGGTATCTCACATCTGTATCCAGTAACTCTTATATCTTCCATCGTGATTTCATGATTCGTTCATGATTCTGTGTTTTGCTGTATCTAGCGATTTGAAATTCCATTAGTTGTACGTCGTTGATCTGTATGTACAAACTTAATGTACCCTCCGATTCATCAGGTTATATAGCTTTTCTTCTCTTAATTCTTATGATTCTGATTCTCAATTTTATATCTATTGTTGCTATTGTTCGATTTGGATTTGGCTTAAACATATGTTGATAGAATGTTATATGTATTTATTTTGGGTAAAAGAAAGGATTCCAAAACATAGGTTCTGCTCGTTTTTGTATTCCTCTGTTAAGAATCGATAAGTGCAGGAAAAGTTTGAAGAATAAGGGTTGTTGGCATGTTGTATAAGCGTGTATTTGTATTTCTCCATCTTGAGAGAATTCTGACGAACAGAGGTACCCCATTGCTGACGTGAATCAAGTCGATTCAGCCAACAAAGTGCTAAATTGGATGAAAATCAAAGGGTTTTTACAAGGGGGGTTCATTGTAGAAGACGATGAACGGTACTTGCCTCAATCAGGTATGCTCAGACCTTGTTCCTCACTAGCTTCGTCTTTTTCCATATCTCTATTCTTCCATGGATTCAGAAAAAAGGAGAACGGTAATGAAATCGTTATTGGTAGGTTTGGGTTGCAAGGAGGAAGAACAAGGGGAAGGGATTGTATGTTCTCGATTATATGTGTGTATACATATACATTCTTGATTGTATATGTATGTTCTCTCTTAGGAGCAAAATAATCATTCATCGGATTCTATATATGTTTTTGAGGAAGAACACGAGAGAGAGAGCCTTATATTTTAATTTAATAAAACATTAAATTAAATAGAAAAAAGATTAAAAAAATATCAGGAGGGCATATTAGTCATTTCAGTTTAGCAAGGGACCAAAACCACAACCAAAATACCTCAAAAGGACCATCAATCCAAAAAAGTCATGGTTTGAATTAAAACCCCAAAAAATTGCATACCACAGGGACCATTTTTGCAGTTTTGTCTAAGAAGATATTAAAACTACTAGTGAGATGAAAAAATAATTTTGTTTAATCACTATTTTCTGGAACACCCTCTTATCGAGTTTTTTTTATTGAAGGAAATGAGAGGAAAGGGGAGGAAATGAAAGGATAGTTCTTGAGTTTATTTATTTATTTATTTATTTTTTTTAAGGAGGGAAAGAGAAGAAAATGAGAAGAAAGGAATGTTCTCGAGTTTCAACACCCTGTTCCTGAGTTTAATTTAACGAGGGAAATGAAAAGAAATGGATAGAAATGAGAAGAAAATAAAAAAAAAAATTGGTATTCCCGATTTTCATTAAAGGAAAGAAGTGGAAGGAAATGAAAGAATCATTTTCCCTCCTAACTTTCCCTCCGATTTGGAAAGAACAAATTTTTAAAATTTTCTTTTTACTTCTCTTCAACTTGGAAATACAAAATACAATTTTTTTTTCTTTCCTTTCTTTTCTCTCATTACTTTCTTTTCATTTATTTTCTTTCTTGCTAAAACTTAGTCGTTAAGAAAAAAAAGGGAAGGAAATGGAAAGATTAGGAGGAGAAAACAAAGCTTATTTTTTAAGTTTTCTTTCCTTCCATTTTTGGAATGATTGAGATGGAAAGGGACGACTCATTCTCATCCCTTTCCCTCCTCAAAAAAATTCTAGAAAACAACGCTAAATAACATTGTATCATGATCCAATCCCCCAAAAACAATTATGCATTGTGATGAACTTACAGGGTACAATTTACACAAAAGAATGATAATAATGTATGATAGTTATTCATCTTATTCTGCACAAATGCCTTGTTATATACTTATATCGTAAGGTATTAACCATTTGCATATCTAGTAAAATTTATTAAAAAAAAATCGATTTTACTTGTTATTTTCTTATTTTATATAAACGATAATCCGGTACCAATGTGTTGTTGTGTTCTATCACCTTTCTAACAACGTGTCCAAGTTATGTCATGTCTAGTTCTACCATATTCCATTATGTCGTGTCCCATATTACCTAGAAAACGATGTGACAGACATGAATAGAGGCATATGAGGAGTTCTAAAGGAACTATTCAAGGTTTTCTTTAGAGAATAAATCTTGAAAAATCAAAATCATGTGTGAATCGCCCATTGGAGAAGCACTTTGAATGACGACATTCGAAAGCACACAAAATTGTCATATCTTGAAATTAGATTTTATTCAGAAGCTTAACAAGGCGCTGGAAACCCCATTTGCTTTGTGTAAAATACTGCAAAAATGTTGAGGAATTATAAGTTTACCTCATTTTCCATTCCCATTTCAATGTTGGAATCAATTACAACAACAAATTATCATACAAAACCTAAACTAACACACTCATCAATCATCATTATCAGAATCCACAAAAGTCTTATCTTACTACCACATTGAAGGCACATAAACCTGTTCTTTCAAATTTTGAGTAGCACTTTCCGTTGGAAAACCTCTCACATCTCCAATTGTCCACTGCGATATGATTCCGGCCGCAATCGCAAACCGGAGTTGCCTTTCCAACACATCTTGATTCCAATACATCTCCGGAAAACTCGTCAATTTTCTCAAAATACCCGCAACAACCGCATCCCCGGACCCCGTTCTATCACAAGTAAACGGTGTAATCAACACGTCCTCCGTCCCCACCACAACCCCATCAAAATCCGGGGCGTAATAATGTAGCCGAAGCGTTCCATCCGTCACAAACAAGAACTTTAATTTATCGTGCCATAGAGGGGCGATTTCGTCTTTTGTGTAGTGGTAAAAATCTTTCGTGTTATCTTTTGTTTCTTGGTGGGATTCTGCGTAGTATTGAGGTTGGTAGTTTCTTCTTTGTTCGTGGTAGTGTTCGTCTAGTAGGAATTCAAGTTCTTGTTTGCTGACTTCGATGATGTCAGCTTGTTCCCAGGAATCCTTGATTACTTTCCGGGTTTCGTGCCGGGATTTCCATAGTGGTAATGGGAGATTCATGTCGAAGAATATTAGGCTTCCGAATTTTTTTGACCATGAGATTGCTTTGAATAAGGCGGATTTCATTGACTCGGATAAAAGGACTTCGGAATTGAAGTGGAACATTCTCGCCTAAGTAAAATTAGAAACAAAATGAAAATAAAGTCCATGTCAGCGTTACGTGAACGCCATATCAGAAGGTTAAGCGGTCAAAATTTAAGTACATCAGTACTTAAATTTTGTCAATTGGTGTTCAACAATCAACTATTCTAAACTAAAAGGTAATCTTTCAATTTGGTTTTAAATCATACTTAAAATCAGAACAATTTAGGAAAAGCATCAAGGGAACAGTACCTCTTTGAGCACTGAAAGGTTCAATTCAGAACTCATGAAAGAGTCCTCAGCTGCATCTTTAACCTTCTCAGCTTTCATTTTGCCCTTCCCATCAAACGTAATCTTCATATAAGCACAACCAGTTTTCTCTTTTGGGTCGATTTTTACACCTCTAGTCTGCACTTTTTCCTTATTCATCATCAAAACAAGCTGCTGACCTAAATCATCATCCCCTACCTTCCCAATGAACGCTGCCCTGCCCCCAAGTCTTACGTGAGCTATAGCCACATTAGAAGGAGGTCCGCCAGGCGCTCTTGCAAACTCCGGCGGGTCCCACTGCAGCATTTTCCACTCGGAGTACATGTCCGGGTGCATTTGCTGATCCGATACCCTAACTGTTGGAACAAATTGCTTCTGTGCAGCTCCGAAGCAGCATATCAGAGGAGGGTCCTCGTAAGGGAAATCAATCCCATCATCAAAATCCTGTAGATCTTCTGCTTTTTCAATTTTGTTTACTTCTGTTTCTGATTTCTTCGTGCGACTGGAGCTTTTAGTGGGGGTAGTTGTCGTTGTAGAGGTGGATTTTTTCCGGCCACGGCGAGCGGGTTGTGGCGGGGTGGAGACCGTGTGGTCGCCATTAATGGATGCTCGGGGTATGAGAATTGTGGGCAAGGAACGGAAGCAGGGAGTGGAGCGGAAGGATGGCGGTGAAGGAAGGATTTGAAGAATCGCCATGACTGGTGGTAGTTAGGGTTTAACGATTGGGGTCATGGTTTCTGTTTCCGATAGGGTTTTCCTTATCATGTAACCGAAAGATTCAAAATAACATTTGGGAAAATGGCAACCGCCTTTTATCCGTGTTCACATATTGACAACTTCCTTTTTTTTACATAAAAAAACAACTATCTTGTTTAAATAATACCAATATTACCGACTAATACCTGTTTTAACCGCTAACTCAAAGAGAAAATGACTTAGGAGGGTAACTACCTCTTATCCGTGTTCACATATTGGCTACTTCTTCTTTTTGTACATAAGAAAGCAACTAACTTGTTTTAACTGTGTAACATTCCAAAAATCATGACCAAAAATTTCGTTTTTAATTTAATACTAAAACCATTAATTTAATACTCCGGCATCGGGCCCCGCCCGGCATCAGTCCCCGCCTGGCATCGAGCCCCGCTCAGTATACAGATCTGTCTCTCTTAGGCCCCGCCTATCTTCGGGCCCCGCCCGCTAAACACATACAATCATATAACATGATAACATATAAAGAAACATACTCTATTGTATCTCTGTCCTAAGAAACATACTCTGCTAATAATGAGATACGGAACCTCGTCCGTACTCAGCTAGTGATGAGATATGAGATCTCGCCCACACTCACCTCCCTACTAGGCACATACAAGTATCACAGAGACAACAAGTATAATATAACATGCAAACATTCCTCGGGCACCCGCCCGGCATCGGACCTTGGTCCGGAATAACATACTAGCATACAATGCCTAGGGCTAACCCCCGAGTCTTCCTACTCATAGACTACATGGGCTGGCATTGTGGTCTTAGACCCATTCACACAGTGAGGAGACTCACCTTGCACTGCTGAAGCCCTGGCTGGAACTAGCTGAGTACGGACGATGTTCTGTATCTCATTATTAGCAGAGTATATTTCTTAGGACAGGGATACAGTAGAGTATGTTTCTTTATGTGTTAGCATGTTGTATGATTGTATGTGTTTAGCGGGCGGGGCCCGGAGACAGGCGGGGCCTGATGCCGAGCGGGGCCCGATGCCGGAGTATTAAATTAATGGTTTGACAATTATGGTTTTAGTATTAAATTAAAAACGGAATTTTTGGTCATGATTTTTGGGATGTTATACAGTTAAAACAAGTTAGTTGCTTTCTTATGTACAAAAAAGAAGAAGTTGTCAATATGTGAACACAGATAAAAGGTAGTTACCCTCCTAAGTCATTTTCCCATAACATTTCTTTCTCTTTTCTTTTTAACATGGTGACTAATATTAAAAAAGAATAATGTATTTCTATAGAAAAATTATACTATATATTTGATCGTTTAATTTCTTAAATGTGTTTGACATATTATTATTGTCACATTTTATCTCAGATGATAATGGTAATATATGAATACATTTAGCAAGTTAAATGGTGTGTAAAAAAATTGTCTAAATATGAACAATTTTTTTTTTACAAATTTTCTAAGACTTTTTATAATTTCTTCCAATATTTTTATAATATTTTTTCCTATAGATTTTTCTAATACAATGTTTTAAACTTTACTTATAATTTTTGTTAACTTTTTTATATTTTCATATAATTTTCATACATGTGCTTTTAAACCAAATTTTTCTAAATATTTTAAATCTTTCTTACAAGTTTTTTTTATACATTTTCATAAAATTTATTTATAACTTTTCATATAACTATTTCTAAACTTTCTTTTACAACATTTTCTAAATGTTTCGTAGATTTTATATGACAATTTTCTACTTTTTTTATAACATTTTAAAATACTTTCGTTAAATCTTAATTTAAAACGTTGTATTAAAAAATTAAAAAGTTTATAACCTTCTAATTAAAAAGTATAAAAAAATTATAATAATTTTAAAACATTTACATTATATAGTTTTTTTTGTTTGCTACGTAATATTTTATTTTTATTTTTTTAAAATACCCTCCATACTTATTATTACATATTTAATTTTTTTAATTTTTTTAAATATTGTTTACTTTAAAAATATTGCATATTCTTTAATATATATATATATATATATATATATAATATATATATATATATATATATATATATATATATAAGAGGTTATAAAAAAATATTTATTACTTAAAACGAAATGCTTATAATTGGTCAATATTTAATTAATATTTATGATAGTAAGTTTTTTGCTAAAAATAAATTAGTAGAAATTGGATTTGTCAAAATAAAAAAAAAACTATAAATGTGATAAATAATCAATCATCATGGATACTTTAAAAATAATTATTTTTGTTCCTACCTTTTGTTTTTTCATGTACAACTATTCATTCATTGCATGTTTGATTGTATAGGTAAACGGGTAATAAGTTGCGTTGTTAACTTTTTTTAGATGGTGAAACTAATTTTTTTTTTAAAAAACTACATCCATAGATATTGGCTTATAACATTACTATGCATGACATGTTGGATCCTATTGAGGAGCTTTATAACATTTGATGCAATGAAATCAAAAGTATTAAATGTAAACGGTAGAAACGTGTATTGATTTTTCATACACGTTTTTCATGTTTGGTCACTTTTGCATGAGACATCTTTTAAAGAAGTTTGTCTCACACTGAAAACCTTACTCCCAAAGCCTACAAGAGGGGAAACTGATGTTAGATCCACACATGCATGCTTTCTTCCTACCTATCCAAAAACTAAAATGTTGGATGGTCTAATATGTAAATATTATGATTTAAATAGGAACAAACCCTAAGATCCTTATTAAAATAGGATAGGAAGGTACAACTCAACAATCGTGTTTTTATATAGAGAAAAATGATTACAACACACAGATAATATCCGACAACTACAAAACACTATTATGTGAATGAAACAAACAAAAGGAAAACAAGTCAGTGTTAGCAGAAGATATATACATGGATACATCAAAAAGAAGCATTTAGGTTTGTACAAAAAGGTCAAACCGGGAGGGGTAAGTCAATAAGATAGGAAAATAATACAAGAATAATCAAAATACTATGATATGAGCAAGAAACAAGTATCAACAATAAAGATCAGAAAACAAAAAAAATATATAATGAGGAATCACTATCTATCAACCTTGGTGTTTCTCCTCCACACCCCACATCTGATGTCATGTCCTCGGAATGAAAAACCCATTCAAATCAAGCATCATATTATCCTCCCATTTTTTTTGTAGGACACCCTATATTTCCTCTTACCATCAATCATCATAGACTTTATGTAACGCTCGTGTTTTTCGTTAGACATGTCGTCGACATATCTTTATTTACGTTAGTAATTTATGTAAATTTTATTATAAATAAATAAATAAGAATTTTCCTACATGTTATGTGTTTACAAAATGTTATTTGTATATGTTTATTGTGTACATGTTATGTGGATAAATATTATGGTGATATAATATTTGTATAAAATATAGTTATAAATTTAACGAATAGTGGTAAATAGCATTTATAATTAAAATGTTATTTTGGATAAATAACTTATATGAAAGTTGTAGAAAAAAAAAGAGAAGTATCAGCACGTCTGTAAATAAAACCAAGTGTGAAAAGAAAAGCATTGAGGCATTGAAACCAAGCACATGGTGCCTGTTTAAGGCCATATATGGCTTTTTTCAAACGACATACGTGTAAGGGGAACTACTCATCAATAAAACCTAGAGGTTGCTCCATGAAGACTAGGCCAGTGAGCCTCCCATTTAGGAAGGCATTGTTGACATCCAACTGGTGTAAAGGCCAGTTTTGCATGGTTGATAAGGATAGAACAATATGAACTGTAGATGCCTTGACAACGTGACTAAAGGTATGCGAGTAGTCAAGGCCAGGGACTTAAGTGAATCCCTGTGCAACCAGACGAGCTTTGTATCTTTCAATGGTGCCATCGGAGTTAAACTTGGTACGAAATATCCATTTGGAGCCGAAGACATTGAAAGTAGATGGTCTAGGAACTAACTCCCATGTATTATTTTCTCGTAGGGCTGCCATTTCATCATGCATAGTCGTTTTCTAATGTGGATATAATGAGGCATATTTAAAACCCTTTGGGACGGTGGTCATTAAAAGAGCTTGAGGAAGACCAGTGGAGCCAAGAGATGTAAAGTCAGCTCAATACTTGGGTTTGAAGATGCCATCAATGGATAAAGTGACCATGGGATGCATAGGTCGTGGCGTGGCAGTGGAAGAAGACATGGGTGACGGTGTAGTGGTTGATAGCCGAGTTGGTGACTTCTGAGCCGACGAGGATGGAAGAGTCGGTGGTAAATGGATAGGAGGTTCATGCAGCGGAGGTTTTTTGGCAGTTGACGAGTCCTATGAATCAATCATTGGGAAAATAGGATACAATGTGGGTGAGTGATCATGTGATATATCTGAAGGTGGATACATGGCATTGATTGAACCTGAGTGCATGATGTTCCCATTAGATATACCAAGTTCATCAAATGTTGTAAATAACAATGTAGAGGGATAAGATGATGAAGCTTCACTTGCAAATGGATAACATTTCTCATCAAATTGAGCATGCCTGGTGATGTAAATTATGTTGGTGTTTGGATCCAAGCATAGATAACTGTAACATTCGGACCATTGTAAGTTTCCTTCTCAACCCTCCTTAAGCTAAATCTTTGCAAAATTGGTCCTTTGGCTAGTACGATGGGCGTACTAGCTGAATCTTGGTCGCGGGCATTGCCCACGTAAGCTGGGCATACGTGGGGTTATGCAGGGCGTACTCATGGCAGGGGCAAACCCTAATTTTTAGGGTTTGCACCCTATTTTAAGACCTTAAGTCCCTCATGATCTTCACCCTCTCAGCTTCCCTTGTCCTTTAAGTGTCAAACTCGAACCCTAACCCTCTTGCATTCATTTTTGAGCTTACCTTGGTGTTTTTGGTTATCTTTGTTGGTTTTGAAGAAGAAGGAAGTTTGGGAAGAAGCAAGGTCAATGAAGGAGCTTGTTTATCCAAAAGTTTGGCACCATTTCCAGTTCTTTAAAGGTATAAATTTTAAACCTTGACTGATATTGCCATATTTATACGTATTTTTTGGCAATATTTAATTACATT